CGTGGTGCAGAATCAGGAATATTCATACACGCAATGTACATTTACAAGATTTAAAATACGACGCGTATAAAATTCACACAATTAAATATCACTCGTTCAACATTGTCGACGAGCTTTAGCTTCAAGGTTCTTTTTATCTAATTTTCGATTGCTGAAAAAAAAAATTAGACAAACGTGGTAAATGTTACAGTTTCAGTGTGACTCACAATCTTACGATCAAACATTTTTCTAAACCTGACATGTCACACGTTATAGTATAAAAGGCACTGGCTTGGATCTATAGGTATCACCGAATGAAATAAAAGGATTCATACACTTGTCGAATTTGTACGATAATTTCGTGAAAGCAACAAGAACTGCTTCCAGAAATCTAACATCCACATCGAACATTTAAACGCGAAGTGAACGCTTTAATCAAGCTGCATGAATTTTGCCGCAGCAAGTAACGCGTAACCAATGGCAAGTGAGAGACTCGAATGAAATTGTAGCACCGATCTCAATTCGAAATACATTGCCATTTCGAGGCCATCATTAATTATCCGATACAAGAAACTGTGACAGTTCCCGTGGCGCGTCGTATTTGGTTGCGTATCACGATCCGCTGGAGAATTGCGCGGTGTCGTCCTCGAGGTTTCTTTGAACACCGCGAGCATTATCGTTCACTAAACTCCAGCAATTTGAAACTTGCGCGAATTTTGCTGTTCGATAATTCCGCGCTCGTAGAATAGTAATTATGAAATTATATTCTGCTCCCTGGACGATAAGGAACCTCTCAGCTTCTTGTTACCCCCAGCAGTTACTTATTCAAAATCGGTTTTGAACGCGCAGCCTTCTATCAATTGCCGAGCAAAGTCAAATTCAAGTTGAAATTGTCTTTGAATTTTTAACAATTGTTCGTTCACAGATTTTTCAACAACAGTGTCGCGTACAGAATTTTGAAATTCAAATTTCCCGGCCTTTGGAATTTTCGCTCAACAATCTATCGGCGCAGTTCGTATTAGCTGTCAAACAAAATTTTTCAGAAAAGAAAGAAAGAAAGAAGCGGAATTCAAACGAACAATAAAGTTCATTCATCTGCGATTGTTGAACGTGTTACGCGTTCGAGAGATCGATCGTACATTTTTATAGATCGTTTGTTATCAAAGTTTTAAAATGTAAATGGGATTCGTTCGAAGGAGACGAAAAATTTTCGAGAAATTTTAGTTTCTACCCAGCTTTAACGCCGGTGCCGCGTCTTTCGCGCCGTTGCGAATTAATTTCATTTATGTGGGACGGTGAAAGCTTTTAATTTCTTTGAAAATTTTAGCAGCCCGGCGCGCGTATATGTGGGAAACTGTAAAAGCACGTGCTCTTTTTTTTTTTTTTTTTTTTAATTTCCACCATCGGGCATCAATTTCCAAGAGAAATCTCCACGAGAAAGGATTTCTCTCGTCGTTGATGTTTTCGCGCTTTCGTTGCAATTTCCGTAATTCGAAACAACTAAACTCCCGGCATACCCTCCCACAGTCTTAGCACGATCCTCCAGGATCTTCCTTCTGTTTCGTTTGCTCCATATATGTACGTGACCGGGTCTGCTCGCCGGGTGGTCGTGAAGAAGCTGCGTTGAAACAATCCTAGAAAACTCTTAACTCATTTTCGCCCTGCTTCTTCGAGTAACACGGCGAATTTCCAAGATTTTCGTTAACCCTGGTTTTCAAAATTTCTTTCACTGGCAGCAAAATATCAGCGCGACGATGTTAACGACAGTGACTGAACATTTTAAATAGAGAGGAGAGGAGGAAGAGAGGAGAAAACCAACGAAACGATATGAACGTAATATCTGAGGGTATTTCATAATCTGCGACGTAATACGTTGGAATATTACGAATATTGTCGTCACTTTGCTACGAAATAATCCGCGACGCGAAGTCTCGTTAATTTTCAATTCAGATGAGCCTTGTAATTAAAATCTACGAGTCGAGATTATAAAATTCTTTGCACTCTGAGATATTTACCTCGGGATTCCGGTAGGGAATTAATATACCTACTTCTAATATTTCATCGTGGTAGTTAACGGCTAACTTAATAACAACTAGAAAATGATAGAGAACGAGATCACTTGCCCTCCACTTGATGCCAGAGAAACTGATTAAAAACCGTTTCGTGCAAGACATTTACAAACATTTACAAACGAGAGATTGTATCGTCTGTCGATATCCAGTAGCGTTGGAAAAACGTCAATAGACTCAACCCTCTCAGTGATGTAAAGATGATTCAAAACGAAGAATAAATTCAATCTTACTGTTATTTACGAACAGCGAATAAATTAATCGGAAATACTCTAAGAAGTATGTAATTTTGGAGATACTTGTAAAAGTTGCCATATTCTTCTTAAAAATGAATATCCTCTCGCTTGTTTTAGAAGTGGAAAATTTTACATACATACGAGGAAGGAAAAAGATTGTTCTTTTTTATAAATTTGCAATCAATTGTGAGAAAAAGTCGAAATTTATTCAAGATATCGAAGTTTGCGGGACCGACACGTCGTCACTGAAATACCAAAAGGATTAATATCGATCTATTTTCTGTTCTCTCCATCGTCTGAAGAAAAAGCGAGGAATTGTTTGGCCAGTGGCGGCCGTTCACGCGTCGTTGGGCACGGCTTATTCGTCAAGGAAGCGCAAGGGTGGAACGTGCGCGTAAATCAAAATGTTTCGTTCGCGCTCTGCTTGCCGCGAGCAGTCACTATCGACTTCGTGTCCAGATCGTTCTTCGCTATCGCGTCGGGCGACCTTCGCTCAGTTGGCAATTCGATTGACGATCTAATTCGAAGAAACCGGAGGACGCCGTTCGCCTTCGTAACCGAATCACGCGGCTCGCTGGTCTCGTTCGCTGCGATTCTCACTTGCGGCGCGTCGACGAGACGCCGTGACGTATGAATCTCGAAGGGACGATGGCTGTTTAGAACATTGAAATTTTCAATTGGACGTTGAGAAGATACAAAGCTGAAACGATAAATCTGAATCGAGTTTCCTTGAAATCAGTAATCGTGATCGAACGAATTTTGATCATTTGCAAATTGATACGGAAAGAACTAAATGTAAGTGGAGGATTGAATAAAGTCACTATCCATGATTTAAAAATTTTGATTAACAAGAGATAACAAATGCGTTGTTTGTACGATCATTTTAAATGAACACGAGAATTATTGTTCTGAGCGTGAAATGCCTACGACGTTTTCAATTAAACAATCACCGCCAGATGATTGTACGAAAATAGAGATGTTAAATTTTCTCGTGAGAATTAGAATTAGAACGGCGCTGTTGACGAATTTTTACCTCGCGATTGCTTGATTGCTACCGTGAACTATAATTACCGGCAATTTTCATATATTCCGCTGAAACGTGCATAACAGCTGGCTAATTATAGAGCAATTACTTTTTCATAATCTAACCGCGATAAATCGCTATTCTTAGCTCGTAATTCCAGTGGCACGCGTGGCGAAAAACTGGGAAAATTTTCGTGGAAGAGTAATTGCAATCCATTTGCAATGTTTGAATATTGTAATGCTAATTAACTGAGATTGCTTCATATTTAATTAAAAACAGATTTTCTTCTTTTAATTTTACGCTATAAACAAGATGCAAAGGTATATACAACGTAAAAACATTTTTTTAGAAATCGTACATTTCTAAGAATGTAATGTCAGAAGGAATTAAGAATTTAACACTAGAAGTGTGACGAAGAACTCAATTTCCGGTGGACGTTCGCTACTCAATCGCTGCACAGTAAATATTCCCTGAAATCGTCGAAGGGAAACGTCAGGAGAACTCCGTCGCTCGAGACAAGAGACACGAAATCCAATGGAGAAAGGGGATGCAGATTGAACAAAAGAAGAGCTTCAATAAAAGTATGAATAATAGACGAGATAGTCGACGAGGGGATCTCTCGTCGTTTTTCGTGCCTCGAAGCACGCAGTGATATGGGTCAATGTTTGCAGCCGGCGGGCCGCTATTCCCAGAGACAAGTTGAGCGAGAGAATACAATAAATTTCCTGAGGGCTCGTTTCATCCAGCCGAGGAGGCGGATATGAATGGTCACGCGTTCGATTCAAATTGAAATGTCCGACAGACTTATACCTCTCATTCGCGGTACCGCGTCTGACAATGGCGGTGATGAGCATAAATAATTGCAGCGGCTCCGAACGCCTGGTCGCGAGCCACCATCGCTGAAGAAACATAGATATTCGCGCTGGGAAAACATATTTTTCTCGTTCAAGTCCCTGCTATTCTCCGTGTAACCAGCCATCAACTGCGATCCTTTCTCTCTCGATTGTAACGCTAATACCAGAGGGACTGGAACTATTCTTCGCTGGGAATAGCGGTAGTTTCCATAATTTTTGAACGTTGCCCGCGTGAGAAACAATTGTTACGGGTTTACGTCTGGTAGATTCGAATAAAATTTTAATTAACTTCAGTTGTAGAACGAGAAGAGGGGAGGTTAGGTCTTTAAAGCGAGTTTGAATGAAGGAAGAACTCGAAATTTATACATTTTAGGAACGTGCCACGTTGTCTTACCTCTTTTGTAATTTTATCAAGCACGTTTTAAACATCAAATAATCGCAAAAAAAAAGATTGTTGCTCCAAGAAGGAATGACACTATATATATATATATATGTCGAACTATATGCACACGTATATACATACGTTCGTCTAGATGTTTATCGAGAAGCGTACGAATTGCGACGCTTTGAGAACCATCGTTCGACGACTCGATAAGAACTTGCTGGGAGTTCACTCGACGAAGCACGAGCACGTGAAATTGAAAAGGAAAAAGAGGAGGAGCTGGCGCGAACCGCGCGACTTCCGCTTTCTGTCTTTCCGCGTCTCGGTTGAATCGCGTTCTCGTTGACGGCCCCGCTTTCATCGCGTCCCGCGCACCCTCCGCACCTAACCCGCAGCCTCTGCACGCTTTTCTTCGACGACGCTCGAATCGAATGGAACTGTCACCTCGTTTTTCAGGTGGACATCACCGAGCTGTGTCCGTCAGCCACGGTCCTGGCGCAGCAATTGACCCACGTGGAACTCGAGAGGCTCTCCTACATCGGCCCCGAGGAATTCGTCCAAGCCTTCGCCAAGGTTCGTGCAACCGCATACACCATTTCGTCACGTTCCTTTCACAGTACATTCGCTCTTTTGCCTATGGAAAATAGTAAGATCTTCGAAGGATGCTTGCGAAAAATAGCAAGATCGCGGATAATAATTCACGAAACGTGTTCTTTCTTTCACGAGAAATGGAAATTGAAAAAAATTGTTTTCGTTGGTTTCTTTGAAGTATTTGGAAACAATGTCATTTGATTATATTAAGATAGAAGCTATTATAACTTGCTTAAATGTTAGATTGGTCAGAAAGTAGTTGCGTCCTTTTCTGATGGACGGACGTATGTTCATGATGTGAAATTCATTGTGTAATCGAACATTTGATTATTCAAGCTTGTTCTAGATAAAGAAAATGTACGATTTCGTTTGATGCTGATTTCAAAGTGAAAAATCAGAAATCAATAAAACATTATTTGAAGAAATACTTCAAACTACGCAAGTGTCAGAATTGCCAAATTTCACAACTGATGAAAATTTTGAATCTTCTTGAAATGATTTTTCGTCGAAAAAGATAACTTTTTTACGGAATCACGAAGGTGTCAATATATCAATAAAGTTTTCGTATCTTATAAAAAATTCGCCTTTCATTTGCATACAAAATAAAACAGTTGCTTTCTGGCCAACAATTAATTAAGATTCGAGTAATTTTAGATGGATTTTATACAAATTATGAGTCTCGATTTTTCCAGGAATCTCCTCATTTGGAAACATCGTTCAAGGACATGAAGAAAACGCGCAATCTCGAGTCGTACGTCCAGTGGTTCAATAGACTGAGCTATTTCGTCGCGACTGAAGTATGCAAGGTACATTGAACGCAAATAATTGGCAGTCTCTTCACCAAAATATTTTTAAATCATCAGTACACGATAGATACCATTAATGACATGCGTGTGTGTTTTATCAAAAATTGTAGAAATCCGATTGAAATTTCAAGCTGAAAATTATGCTTCGCAGCACGCGAAGAAGAAACAACGCGTTCGTGTGGTCGAGTATTGGATCGAGACTGCCCGCGAGTGCTTCAACATCGGCAATTTCAATTCCCTCATGGCGATCATCGCTGGCTTGAACATGTCACCCATATCTCGCCTGAAGAAAACGGTGAGCTGATTTCACTTTACGTTAAATACCGGGTAGACTTAATAAAACGTTGAATTAGATTTCGACAGGACGTTCTTAAAATTCTTCATTATTTCCAACATCAGAGAAACATTGACTACAGTAATGATCACATCAAAACCTGAATGAAATTCAAAATTCGTAAATTAAAACTCGTTGGCAATCACATTATCACGTAGTCACATATTTTATATAACGTTAAATATTCTCGACGTATGTGAAATTAGAAAATAACATGGTTCCGTGTCGCAGAAAGAAGAAGCGTTGCAAGAATCCTTGCACTTTATCGGAATCAAAGGGAGGACAATCGATCATGCGTCGTGAATGTCGCGAGCAAACAGAGTGATCGACTGCAGTGTCTTAAATAAAAGGCGGCGCGGCCGAAAAAATAACGGATGACAGATCGTCGTCGGTGACACTTTTACGACGGTTGCCTTCCTGCTTCGTTCTTCATCCTCGGGACGACGTCGGCGTCGGGTTTTTTCCAGTCAGAGACGCGTCGACAGCTCGGGATCTGTCGTTCTCGCTTCGGTGCGTGCATGTGCACGCGGCAATGAGCGGTTTGTAATCCTCGTAAATTGAGCGTGGCGCCGCGACGACCAACGTTAACCGTGACGGATCGCTGGCAAATCGAATTTTCGCGTCGCCGAAGCGGGCGGGCAGAGCGGAGCCGAGCGAGCAAACGTACTCGCGCTGTTTTAATTGAATTTTTACGTCGCTGTTACTCCGGACCGGATCCGATTGAAATGTACACGGGCATCGAGTTAATTAGAAAGCAACTGTGTGATTTTTAATTGGGCCGAGTCTCTTCTTCGCAGCTGAAAGCCCGCGTTGTCTTTTTCTTCCTTTTCTTTACGCCGTTTAAACGCGAGGAGGAAAGGAGTTCCATTCTCCGACAGATCTGCTTTGGCTTTCGCGCTTTCAGCGAGAACGCTCGGATGTTGCACGGACGTCGAGATTTATCGCATTCCTTCTCTTCTTTGCAGCTATCGACACGCAGATTTATTGATTTATGCGTGTTCGCACTCCTCCTTCTCCTGCAGTCGCGTGTGATTCGTACCTTTTGTAACATTCCGTATCGACGAGAACGTCAACTGATTGAATTTAATTATTTCACTCGCGTCGTAACACTCGTGAAATCGTATAGATCGTTCGGAAGGTACAAACAAAGGTTCCTGTAACTCGTTCCATGCGATTATCATTAATTTGTGCAACGTTTTCCTGATATCATCCATACGAGTTACCGCTATACAAAAAAAAAAAGAGAAAAATCACAGGAGAAGGAACGTAATAAATATATATCTCGTCGATTTTTTCTCTTTCTTCAATTTTAACGTCGCTTTATGACCGAGACTTTCGTATTGAAAAAAAAAAAAAAAAAAAAAAAAAAAGAAATGGAAAAAATCGCCATCGAGGTGAAATTAAAATCGTCGCGGACGATCGTCGGACATTTTCCACTGAAATTCGCGATCAACCAGGACAAAAAGCGAGGTCATAAAGCATTGGCCAGGTAGCGCGCGGAAAGGAAGGGAAATACGTTTCAATCAAAGACGAACGAGACTCGCGCGAAAACAAAGAACTCGAGGTTGAATAAAAAAAGAAAAAAAAAAATAAAAAAGCGACCATAACGCGAATTTATTGCAGAACGGTGAGGGGGGGACATCGCATTCCGATCCCGTGACGTTTGGCGAAATAATCGAATCGCTCGCAACGATTGCGTTTCCACCGTAAAAGGATGAAATAGAGAAAAAAAAAAAGAAAAAAAAAGGAAAGGACGACCGAGAGAACGGAAGAGAGGGAGGCGATGAAAATGGGGAAAGCGGGAAAACGGGAAGAAAAGTCGATACATATCGCGCGACTTCGTGTCAGTCTTTCACGATATTACTTCCTGCAGCGAGTACAACTTCTTTCCTTCTGTTGTCCTGTTCTCTTTTCGCAATGAAATCTCAGCTCGATATGAAAAGATCCAGCTTCCGAAAGAAAATATAATAGACTCGTTCTTCGATCGTATCGGAACGGTGTATTTATTGGCCGATTATTTGAAAGAATTCTCTCTCTCAAAAAAAAAAAATATATATATACGAAAACACAAAAACGGTAAATTATAGTTTTCGATGGATCCGAGAGGAAAGGATTTGGCCCGATATTAAATTGCCTCGCGATCTACCGGTTGCGTTTTTCCGTGTTGACACAAAGCCGGAAATGAAGATGGAATTATCGATCAAGTGAAACGTTTCGTTGTTTCTTTCGTTTCCTGCTCTCGGAAATAGTTTTACGCAACGTTCTCCGGGAAATGTTTCATTTACCTCGCGTTGCTCGAGAACGATCGGAAGAAATTGGAATTCCACGTTGATTCCTAAAATATTGTTCACCGATTTGTACTATTTGCGCCATTGGCTGAATATTTAAAATCAATCTTGCTTGAAACTTGTCGAACCGAGAAAATTCTTACTCCGCGAATTGACAGCGGCAACATTCTACAAAAATGTATTTCTACACGCGATTCCGATAATATTTACGAGCCGGTTAGGAGAATACCGAGTTGTCACCGAAACCTAGTTTCCCCCGACAGAGTTATGCCGCAAAAATAGACGACCCGGTTATCCGGTTTCAACTTTTACGCGATTCATTCGCTGCCGTCGCACGTTTTATGGACACAGATACGGATCCGCTATCAAACGGAGAATCCAATTCTCCAGGACGATCGAAATAACACGAAGAAGGTTAAAAATATACAACTACGACAGTCTCGTAACGAAGGTATTAACTGGAGATTCCCGCGGATATTGCATCGATACGCGATTTAAATGGAAATATTTCCATGGCCGTCCAAAATCGCGACTCCATCCGTGGATTGTATATTTAAACGATCGAACGGAAATAAAACGTCCATTATGATGAATAATAATTAAAATCTTCTCGTCTTTCCTTTTTTTCTTTTTTTTTTTTCATCTCCTCTTAAACTCGCGACCGTGCTACACACGTAAAATATTTACGTTCATAAATATTTTAACCCGCCGCGCGCTGTTTCGCAATATAAGAAAAAAAAAAGAAAAAAGAAAGGTCACGACGCGTATCCACGCGAATGAATATACGCGACCGTGTGACGTAATTAACACGTCAAGTTATGTTTATCCAGTTACCGCGGGGACTTGTGCTTCCGTCGCGTTCGAGGAATAAAAGAAGAACGCGGCGGGATTAAGGGAATGGTTGCGGGAAACGGGAACCGGGGAAAATTAATAACGAGCCTCGGCGAAATGAAAAAATAATATTAAAAATTAATAAAAAGTATGAATGGTACGTGGTAGAATTTTTTGAGTCACACATCGCTTATAATATCTGTCATATTTTAGATATTTTATCTTTCAACGCTGTTGAAATTACAGTCGTAAAAGAAATATACATAAATATAATAATCGTCGTGGAAAATTAATTACCAAATTTCCGAAACACTTAACAAAACAGACCCCTTGCTTCTCGCCAAAAAAAGACCAAAAAAACGAGAACGTTTCGCCGATAACAAAATAACCAGCGCGCATTAGATAATTTTATTTCCGAGAACGAGCGCGACAACTCGCGACGAATCGGCCAGCGTGTACGACTTTATCGCCGGGATTCGACAAATTGCGAAGCGGAACGAGGATGCCATTAAACGTGTATTTTTTTTATCGGTTCATTTTTTTTTTGTTTTTGGTTTTTAATTACGAGACTGAACCGCTGTGTGCCGCCGCGGACATATCCCTCCGGTTCTATTCGACTGCTATTCATGGTTCATTTGGTTCGGCCAGCTGATTTATACAGGCCGCGCTTAAAATAATTGCTGGAACTATCAGCGACCAGCCGGCGTGGCCCCCACTTCGTAATTTTCGTTAATGAAAATTTAACGCTTCTGTTCGGTCACGCTCGCGCGTTGTTTCCCCTCCTCGCCCCACCCGCCGCACAGTTTCCTGCTCGCCCACCTTCGCTCTTTATCCCACCGATATACGAACATCGGCGTGCATTCGCGAAAACATTTTGCTGGACTTTTTTTTTCTGGTGGATCGTTCGATCGATCAACCGTGGTGGAATTAATTTCCAGAGGACGAAAATAACACCGAATCGGGCCAGTTCGACAGATCTTAGATTTCTTATTAAAAATATGGTTGATTCAAAGATTGTAATTGTAGCTAAGTTTGAGGAAAAATTTTCCTTCGTTCTTCTCTCCTTGACTATAATAAATTGTCAATCGTTCTGTTCAATATTTATCTGCTAAGTTTGAGCCAAAATATTTCTCTTTAACAATAACAGAGCGTCAATCTTTTATTCAACATTTGCTCGACAAATGTGCGAAGCTTCAAATGAACCGAGAAGGAAACCCAGAGTCTAGGAATGAAACGATAAGTCGATTTCGGATCATGTAAATCCTCACGTCGAGCTATCCTTGGCAAGGAGCATGAATTCTCGATTTACTTCTCATTCCGCGATATTTTAATCTGTAGCAACGATCCCTTTTCAGTAAAACCTGGAAAGAAAATCGAAAAATCCAGCATGAAGTATCTACGATCCTCTACGTCTCTCTTCATCTCAACGTCATCACCAAAATACAGACCAAAAACACTCTCACAATCAGTTACGTGGCTAGCAATCTCTTTTTAAAACTCTCCATCGCCCAGCTCTCTCTCTCTCTCTCTCTCTCTCTCTCTCTCTCTCTCTCTCTGAAATATCCGCGCAAATCCAAAAATCGATCCTTACCCCGAAGAATCTACCTCCGAGCGTGGAGGTCGACGCCTCGACGCCGTCAACAACCCCCCGCATCCTCCCCCATTCGCCATTCAGCCAGCAGGAGGATATTCTCTTTACCGAGTCCGAGGCAACTTCCAAGTTGCCGCGAGTTTCGCTCGCTGAAAGTCAGCATGGAAAACTCGAAGGCGGGCATCATCGGATGGCTGGAAGGTCTGGCGCATCGTTCGAGAGAAGCCACCGATACGACGACGACGACGACG